TAAATTTCTCCTTGAAATGACTCCAAACCTTCTTAGCATTAGAAGCAAATACAATACTAGGCATTAACTCACCTGCAACAGTGCTTCCAATCCAGCGATAACACGATTGCATTGCATTTCTCTCATTGTTCAGCAAGTTCTCCTCTATACATGCTTTTGACACACGTTCCGTCCATGAACCCTAGCTTTCCTTTTCCTCTCGATGCTAGCTTCATCGTCGTATTCCACAAGGCATAATTTTCTGGTCCTGTGATTTTGATATGAAATAGAACTAAGCCCAGAGCATCGGAAGCTTGAAGGAACAACGGATGATTGTGCTCTAGCAAGGTCACTTCATTTCCAGCCATGTTCGCTCAAATCGGAAAACTCAAAACCCTAATTTCGGAGTAATTTCCCTGCTTTTCTTCTGAATTTCAAATCTAACCTCTAGAATTAAGATCGAGGCTCTGATACCATGTTAGCTGAGCTAGATTAAGCAAGCTCCAGCAGTAATTCATACATGCAGTGAAGTTTATCAATGGAACAGTGAAATCGTAAGAGAGAACAAGAGAGAAGAGAGGAAGAAGAAATCGGTTCATTTTCTATTTCCTGTTGTGATACAGAGGAAGAGATCTGTGTAATCCCTTTTATCACTAGTTACAAGTCCTATATTTTCTCCTATTTACAAACTACTCCCTTCTAGTTTCTTGTAGGTCCCTTTAACATCGTTCTCTTCAATACTAATACCCATCGAAAGACACATAGACAAAACTAGTTTAGCTCATTTCATATCATCCATTTTATATTCATTACCTTTTATTTCACACGCGAATCTTTATATAAATAACCGGTCGGATGCATTGTTTACTTTTCGTAGCCGTATATATAGATTATATACTGATATTATACATGATTATATACATATTATACATCATACGGCTATTTGTAGTCTAAGCGGTTGGGTGAGCGACTGTTTAGGTTAATTTTTCAAATTAAAATTATAAATATAAGGAAAGCCTCCAACTTACAGTAAGAGTATTTTCCAATATCATACTGTTGTTATTATAAAGCTGTGCATATTCTTGAAACTGTTGTAGATGTCAAGGCCTGTGTGGTGCTGCTGGATTTGTAGGATTTAAGCTTTAAGATTTCTGTAGTACTGAAGTATATGACACGAAAAAAGTAGAATTGGTGGTTAGAAATTCTGGGAAAATGCTACAATTGTATATATCATTAAGAAAATAGATATAGTACCACTTTTGCACTTCAGAAAGAAGTGGCATATATTCCATGAATCTACTTGTTGAGTCTTTTTCAGATTAAACATTAATGAAGAAGCACAACGTTAAATTAAAAATTTTAATTTTTGAAGAAGGACATATTTAAAGTTAATTTGCACTAATTCTAAACAAGCTAATAGAAAAACAAAAGGAAAAATGGCGAGCCTCCAATGCAAGAGTTTTAATTACTATCTTTTTTTCACAAAATACACTCACACATATACAGAGATTGGAACTCGGGACCATAAGTAGCTCTTCAAGTATATATAAAGAATCGATGTCTAAAAAGAGTAATAAAACTGAAAATTTCCAACGTATTTCATTTTCATTATCTACCTCAGTATCGTAGAAATAATTTGATTAACTTAAAGCAGGGTAAAATTGACAAATGATTTTAAATATAACTATGATTTTTTTTCACCAAAGTCATATCATTTTGTTTTCTCACATAAAAATCATAAAATTATTACTAACTCTCACAAAAATCATAGTGACCGAAAATACAACTTTTCAGTAATATTTTCTTATTCCATGGTTTTTTTAAAAAAAAAATTCTGTCTAATAAATAATAATTCAACTAAAACAGGAATGATCCAACCTGATCTAACTCCGGGACCTAATACCCATATATATAAATTAAAACAATACTAAAAGTGAATCATTCAAACACTATATTTCTATCTTTTATTTATTTTCAAGATTTTCATTCAAATTTATAGCATTTTTTTATTTTAAGTGCTCTCTAATTATACCTTTTTTTTTTTGTTAGAACTCATGCATTCCAAACTAAGTTTTTCGTAGGGGAAAGATTCAATATTTAGGAGTATTTTAACGTATGTAGATGGGTATTGGGTGCGGTTGGGTCGGGACATTCCTATTTTAAGAAAAAAATACAAAAATGACCAGTTGGCCGAAACTAATTACATTCGCTAGACAAAAAATAAAAAAATATTATGGTATATAACACACACACACACACACGCGCGCGCACACACACATATATATATATAATTTACTATTATTTTTTGAAGCGGCAAAAAATATATATTTATTCTATTTTAATTGGATTATTATTTAGTATGCTGAAAAAAAAAAAACGAAAAAGTTGGAATAAGAAAATACTACCGGAAAATTGTATTTTTCGGTCACTATGATTTTTATGTAAATTTGTGAAAGTTTTATGATTTATATGCGAAAAATAAAATTATATTGACTTTGGTGGAAAAAGTAATAATTATATAATCATGTGTAAAATTTACGAATAAAGTATCACTTCAGTGACAAAAAATAATGAGATATAAAGGTGCTGGACACTTATGTCACTTGCAAGTATGAATTGTTGGACTTTGATGAATCAAAAGTTAATCATTTCTCCTAATCTCCAAACATCTAGATTTTTTCCCCTCTAATATATTATTTAACAAATCAGTCCACTGACATAAGATAAACTATACAATTATGGGAGAAAGCAGGGAGAATTGGGATAGTCTAATGTCTTTCTTATTAGTTGATACCTCAACGGGATTTTAAGAACCAAAATGGAGTCGTAAAGCTTTAATTACCGAATCACTTAGCCTCATAAAAGTTGTGAAATAACTGATTAAAGAAGTGCATAAAAATACTTACATCGATTCACATCGAATCTTTGAAACTTTTCCAAAATTGAAATTCTCGTTTGACGGCATAAAAATGAGAGATATATATGTCAAATTCATCACGAACAAACAATTGCTGGTGAGTATATTTTGCATAAAATCTGAAATAAGTACAAAAAAAAAATGTCGTGTAACGCTAGAAAATTAAGATGTTAAGAGATGAGAAAAGAGATATCTATTGGTTTGAAAGAAACCTAATTGGCGTTCTTTATGGTACTTAATTTTTCCTCAAGTTTTAAGATATTTGGTTGACTTACTTATTTTGAAACATCGAATAATCCGTCAAGAAAAAAAGACCGATATAACCTTGGCGAATTGTTCGATGCAAGATCAAAAGACTAAAGCACCCTTGACTCAAAAAATATCAGTTACGTTCTATGTTTATTGCTTCTCCTTTACAAATTACTCAATTCTTATTCTCAAATCTCCAAAGTGAATAAGTACAAGTATCTCAAAAATGGAAGTTGCACATCTTTGCTTGCTCCTAGTTCATGGTGGAATTCATCGCCATGAATATAATCTTCCCCTCTCACAGACAATCATGTACTTGAGGATCAATTGAGTATATAATCTTGTAAAGGATCTCATGTTTGCCCCTTTATGTATATTTTTTAATCATTTATTCTTTACCTTTCTATATAGACATATCAAAGATTTACCACATTCACTCGGCATTAAATGTAGAAGAGTTTCCATGTGGTCAATGTGAGTAAATGATTTTGTGAGTATAACTACGCAATGTACATAGGAGTATATGCCAATAGCCCGTTTGGCCAAGCTGCAAAAATCAGCTTATTTTGAGAAGTGTTTTTTTTCAAAAGTGCTTTTCTCAAAAGTATTTTTGGTGAGAAGCAGTTTGTGTTTGGCTAATTAGTTTGAAAAGCACTTCTGAGCAGCAATTAGTATTTGACCAAGCTTTAAAAAACTGCTTCTAAGTGTATTTTTCTCAATAGTGTTTCTCAAAAAAGTGCTTTTGGAGAGAAGCTACTTTTTTCTGCTTCTCCAAAACTGCTTCTGCTTCTCCTCAAAAGCACTTTTTTCCTTTCAGAAGCTTGGCCAAACACCTCAAATTGAGGCCAAAAGTGCTTTTGGCAAAAAAAAAAACACTTTTGGCCAAAAATAAGCTTGGCCAAACAGGCTACAATGTACGAATACACTTGTAAGATACTCATTAGAGTAAAGAATCATATCTGATAGAAAAGAGTTGAAGAATTTATTTTGCAGAAAAATCAATATCTTACTCCAAAATTTCGAGGGAATCATAACCTGACAAGGGGTTCAGTTATATTTACTAGACTAGATAACAAGATACAACTGCTGATCAAAAATAAAATCTAAACAATGAAATTAATCCTGATGAATGTTTGGAAAAAGTGAAGGACGTCTTCCTTTTCTCATAGGACAAATATTCCATTCCGACACGAAATTTAAATCTAATCTTCACCCCAACACTAATTTCATTGAGTATTCATTTCGGTCTCAATTGCTGACGAATCATCATCTCGACCCAATAGATAAAATTCTACCAGAGCAAGAGACTTTTTTTAAATGTCCTGTTCTTGAGAAAAGATGTAAATTCTCATTTCAGTTTAGGACACCTTGAAATTAAGTAACCAACACTCATCCAAAGAGTAAATGATTACAGTAAAAACCTATTATTTCAAATGATCTGCCCACAGCTAAAGGGCAGCACGGTGCACTAAGCTCCCGCTATGTGCGGGGTCCAAGGAAGGGCCCAACCACAAGGGTCTATTGTACGCAGCCTTACCCTGCATTTCTGCAAGAGGTTGTTTCCACGGCTCGAACCCGTGACATCCTGGTCACATGGCAGCAACTTTACCAGTTATGCCAAGGCTCCCCTTCAACATCTGCCCACAGCTAGGGGGAAGAAACTATCTTCCTTGTCCCTAATCAGACTAACTTCATAATGCATCTGAAGAGAACTCAATATTTAAGAAACACATCAGTGCAGGTTCTGTAACAGAAAGTTATCTAATTTGAAGCGGATTAGTTCAAGTGTACCTTAAGCAGCTCCTTTTAAAAAAAAAAAAAAAAAAAAAAAAACTAAAGAAAGACACTGAGCACATCACCCCAATTGTTCATGGTGTTGTAGAGGCCATGGTATTAGTCTTCCTTGAGACAGTACACAGTAACCTAATAATCTTTTCCAATCATGCACATATCGCATTACATACAAAAACCAAGTCCAGTTTTTTGTTATATGACAAACTTGAAACTGCACAAAATGCGAAAGTTTGCAATGAGATAAATGTCACCATCATGTACAAAACAAGTCTCAACCATCTGCCATCTGCCATCTTCCCAGCTTCATGCAGGCTACAGAAGGTCATTTGACCTACTCTGCCAATATAGTGCATCCTTACACTGCTCGATGTCCTGATGAATCTTTTCACCCAGCATTTCAAATACTTTGACAGACCTTTCTGCCTCTCCTGCTCGGCTTTTCGCCTCTTGCAAGCGCCTTTCAGCCTTTTTGAGCCGTTTCTCTGCTGCTAAGACCTCCCCATTCCTTTCTACCAAGTCCTTTTTAGCTGCTTTAGTGACAAGCATTGTAGTCACCCTTAACTCCATTAGATTGGAAGACTTTTTCTTCACATCTTCCTCTTCGGATATCTCCTCAAGATACTGCTGCAGCCAAGAAACATCAAGCTTTGCATCTGCAGCATCAGAGACTACAGATTTCATATCTTGAATGGCAGAAAAATTAGCATCAATATCACTGGTTTTCAGCTGCCTGACAACATCACTAACCACCTCAAGAAGGGAAGCTTTGACGGTCGGTGATTTATACTGACAGTTGGCTGTAATGTCACCATACTTGCTAAAAATGGCAGCAAGTGTAGGAGCACTGCTCACTTTTACTTTATAGCCATGCACATCAACCAATTCACAGCATTCATCACCATCTTCGATAGGAGAACCTAGGGAAACCTTTCTAGGTGTTGTCAAGCTCATTGGATTTCCCTCTATCTCAGATTCTGAAACTTCAACTTTGATCCTTTTAATTTGGTGCATTCCTTTTTGAGTTAAATCACGTTGCATGGTCCTTAATATAGAAATACTTCATTCAGCTCCAATTCCATTAATTATTATGCAGAGGGGGTTAAATGCCATATAAATAACTTACTTTGTTGGACGAGGAGTCAGATCATCAGTTGCTTTCCCCTGCCAATTTTTCAAGCATAGACAGGTGTTATGAAATAAATTAAAAATGGGCTTTCGAATTTCTATTAAGGTATCTAACAGAGTAGTCAAAAGTGGAAAGTGCAGCAAAGCGCCAAAGTCAATTGGGGCTTTAAGAGCAATGCACAATTAAAGCTTAGGTTTTAACGAAGAAAAGCGCTACTGAAAAGTGAAAACAGTGAAATACATAGAAGTAATGCAAGAAGATGTAACTATAGACACAAACAATAAATATTTTGACAAAAGAAGGAAAAAAAACAATAATTAAGCCATATATTTGAAGTAAAATGAAAATCAAGTCAATCAAGTTAAAAAACCATTATTTTTTATTCAGATGACAAGATGTTTTAACTTTTTAGTGGCTAGATTTCTTATACTAAATTTCCAATTATCTTTTCCTAATCATTAAAAGTTTAGTCATAGCATTTTATTAACAGTTAGTGTATAACTTTGTCAACTAAATTCATTGTCTAGTGTACTGCTTTTAAAGACATAGTTCATCGATGAGAGGGGCACGCTTGCCGCCTGCCATAGAGGGCTCCTTCTTGTCCCGATGTGGAAGAAGTGTATACACATGGGCCTACAATCTCGACCTTAGTATGAAAATAATCTACTATCTAGAAATCGACAGTAGCGCCAATTAAGCGAGGCGAAGCGCACAACCCAAGTTTCAGGGTTTAAGGGTGCCTTAATTGAGCCTTTAATAACATTGATATCTAAGGTCTGTACATCCCAAGGCAAAATGTCAAATATTGTTTGATACATTGGACATTAGCATTACTTGAGCATGAATATGTCTCAGAATGCGATGTACCCATGGAATGTCTTTATATATGTCTAAACGTGCGTAAATAATCTAAGAGCTTTTGAACTCTAAATTCTCACTACAAATCTCGAAGGTTGTCTCAAACTCTAATTTAAAGCATGGGAGTATACGAAATCGTAAACTAATGTGGACTAGCAGCAAACTCTGCCCCGACTTGAATTTTCTCCTTTATCTTAAGAGAACCTCAAAGATTGTTTGTTGAAGCATTCTGTTAATCATAGTAAAGCCACATACGACTATGTTGTGTTAACTCAAGTTAAAGCCAAGATAACCATAACTAGACCCCTTAATTAGATGCTTGAACTGATAGGAAAGTAAGCTGACTGACACCTACAAATTGAACTTCCACAGTTTAATTTTCTCTCTTTATCCGTAGAGAACCTCAAAGACTATTTGCTGAAGCATTAAAGACACGCACAATTAGATTGTCTTAACTCTAGTTTAAGTCAAAGGATGAATATAGAAAGACCGATCCATAAGATTAGATGGGAATGAATTGGAAAGTAAGCTAATTAATACTTACAAATTGAACTGCCACAGTTAAATTGTTGAGTGCAGTGGTGGAACAAGTTCCAACTAAAAAAGCCACTGATTGCTTATTCCATAACTCTTAAGAATCCCATGAGCAAACCGTCTATTGCAACAGTGACACAAGGACAGTTTTTTCTGCCTCTCCCTCAACATTATATGAAGACACTTTTCTGCCTCTCTGTCGATGTTAAATAACTTTTTCTGCCTCTCCCTCGACATTATATAAAGGCAACTTTTCTGCCTCCTTTCCGTGAAATTTGACATAAGAACACAATAACCTAACATTATCCAGTAGCAAATGAGAACTGTCGCCGATTTTTTTAATCTCTACATTTTTACTTGAACTCAAAGATTAAAGATAATTACTTTAATAATCCTATAGCATGAAGAGAACTACAAAATGAGGGACAATAATTTGAATCGGAATTTATGGACGATAGTCTTATCAGATAGGAAAATGCTAGTGCATTTGACAGCTAGGGCGGTCTTCCCGTGATTTCACTGACTTCACTAAAGGGGAAAAAGTTGGATGTTATTCCAAAATACAGGGTTAAAGAAATTGCAGGAAAATCTCGTTGGGTTTGGACGATCAAAGGGGAAGCCTTGTTATGGAAACTTGTTAATGCATTTTAAGGTATGACAACTTCCCCAAAGAGGTAAATGGATTTTAGCGAAAATAAAATAATTGTTGAATCGCACCGCTCAGCAACATGATATGCCATCACCCTTACTAGGAATGAAAAGGCACATAGACTAAAGATGGAAATGCAGTAGAGAACAATAATAGCACTACTGACCAACCCATAAGAAGGTATTACGTGGATAATGATCCAGGAATCATCTAAATGGAACGTTATTTGGGGATCTAGCAGCCAAGAGGGAAGAGGTGTGAAAAGTTGAACATTCTTTCATATCTATTCGCTGTCATACAAGGCAGCACAATACAGCATCTTGGCCAAGCTAACGTATATGACAAGAATTCAATGCTCCTTGGATAATCATTAGCGATCATTCACAAATGGACCATATATCTGCTTTAATGATAATCGGCAAGGGAGAAATTAAGGAAATATGGACAATGGGTGTCTTTTGGGATCAGATGAGTAAAGGACATTACTATAGTGGAAATTGTAAGAAATACAAGAGGAAACACAACTTAGTCTTGACAGTATGCAGTGTAATGTTTGATAGGAGTCTTTTTAGTCTGTTTTGATATGTGTATGTGAGTCGAAACTGTCGACAATCTCTGAATCTAGAGAATCCCAAGTTATTGAATATATGTGATAACCCAAATCGAGTATTAGATTAAGTGGGTCCAAATGGAGTGAAATGGATAGTGAGGATCCACATAGCCAACTTAAAATTGAAGCACAGTTGCTGTTATTGTAGTTGTAGAGAAAACATGGACGGCTGAGATGAAGCAGAGCACGAGCTTGAAAGCTCAACAGAGAAACAGAAAGAGATGAGTGTCATTATAATCTTTTCTCCCCGGGATCTAACAGTTTGATCAATAGTGTGATTTGTAGTATATAAAGAACCTTCTGTCTATTTTGGTTTCGAGTTTGCTATATATTCACAAAAGAAAGGCTAAAGAAAACGGCAGAACCATAAACGACTTTTCTCAAGACCCAATTATGGTAAAAGAATAAGAATAAGGCCCTTTCAGCTTTTACCAAGGGAAACATAGAGGAAGTTGGAGATTTAAATTACTATTGATCACCAATCAAAAAGCAACTGCCATTGATCAAATGTAACTCAAGACAGAAGTTATCTCAGAAGCCTAGCAGGCCTTTGCTGACCTCCAACCAAGAAAACAGAAAAACTCTTACACCAAGAGAAATAATAAATTCAGTTATGTGCTTACACCACCAGAGAAACAAAAGGTATTGTGTAAAAGGAGATGCGGTAACTACAACTATGTAAGCTTTGCAGTATAAACATAAAATGTTGCCTGTTCCAATCAAATTCTTTCAACGTGAAAAAAAAGAGAGGAAATTTTATTAATTAACTAAAACTTCTTCAATCAACTTATCTTATACAAAATTTGATGATGAAATATGAAAACAATAAAAAATAAATAGAGTAATGTAATCTTAGAAAGAGATCTGAACAAAAACATGTGTAGCTCACAGGCAGAAATCTTCCACAAAAGTACTCTCACCTTCTTCTTTTTCCTTAAATGACGATATGAATCAATGATGCAACCAAGGCGCCTGCACATTAACAACTTATGTTATCAACCACTAAATTGTTTCGCACATATTTGAGAAAGCAAGAGTTGTGAAGAATATAACGTGAAAGTTTTAAACTTCAAAATGCAACATAGTATCTTATCCTAGTTCATAACAAAAAATAGTACTCCTATCGACTGTATTTTTGCATTACTACAGTGTGTCCCAGTAGTTGGTCTAGTCCTTCTGATGCATTAAAAAGAATTTAATGGAAATCTGCACCTCTGGACAAATAACAAGGAATGCAATCAGTAAACACATTGAACACCCAAAAAAAGTTCATTCACATTTTCTTTTCAAAAAAAGTTCATTCACATTCTACCTTTACTGGGGTTTATTTCAGAAGTTTATTAATACTTCAAAATGGACAACAACAGAAAAACTTCGCCACAAACATAACATTATTCTGTTGTTTATTATTCACATACAACTTATCAAGTATATACTAAAGCCGTGCTTGACTTTTAGCTTTTTCATTTTAGCATGTACATTCAGAATAAATTCTTAAAAAGTCTTATATCTTGTTTAAATCCCAAATATACTAGAAAGAAATTGCCTATCCACAAAAAACTAGAAAGACCTGTTATTATCTGGAACTTCTTTTGATAAGTTTAATTATCTGGAAAACGAAGTAACCTTTCAGGTTTTTTGTTTTCTTAAAAAATTAGGAAGGGTGTATGTCAGTAATTCTGTAATTAAATTAAAGAAGGCAGGAGGCAAAAAAGAAGGTTTCATTTTTAAGGGAAACGTAGTAAGGAAAGATCTCATTCTGTTGAAAGGGCAGAGACAAAAGAAAGAATTTAACATGATTCTATTAAGTAAATGGCTGAAGGCTCTATTATAACAGGTTGGACATTTAAGGGCATCGCTTTTAGCTCCGAAGCTTGCTAGGATACTTTCAGTGATGGATGCATTACTTAAGAATCCACCTTTGCAAGAAGATTTGAACACGGTTTATGGTTGGACACAACCATCACTATTCTGATGCATGCAATTAACATATAACATTAAAGCATATAACATACACTTCCAACCAAGGGTGAAGATAGATGTGTAGGGGTAGTTTACCTGAAAATGAGGACACCAATAGCACAGCAAGAGAAGCAAACTAGTGAAATAGGGAAAGGAAGGCAAATGTATAAAGTTTGGACATCCAACCTATCGAGAAGTTTTGCTAAAGAAAAAGAAAAGGAAGAAAGGAAAATAAAAGGATGTGAATTTTCAGTGAGACTTGCAGGTAAATCCATGCCTATGTGAGACAACTACAATAAAAGTGGATTGTTGAATTTAGATTCAATGTACTGAGAGGANCTAAATCTTTACCATATGCTTCTTCTCTGGACGGTCAAACAAGGCGATATGTCCCTCATAGAACCTACAGAATATGAATTCTATGTAATGTAACATTTGAACTAAAAAATATACTACATTAGAACGAAACAAAATAATATGTCAAAGTAAATAGAGGATAAAAAGGAAGCAGCTAAATGCTCAAAAGTCTGCCTCTACGGACCTAACAATTTTTTCTGAAAAAAGAACCATAAAAATACTACTAAATCTTTAATTAAATGTCCTTTGCACAATGATACTACCAAATCTCTAAAGACACAATGACTGAACCAAGCGCCAACAAGATACATTTGCTTAGCATCTTAAAGTTGTCATATTACTCCTTAAGAATGGTTTCTATAGGTTGAACTTTGAAACGCATATTCCCGTACTGAATTTCTTCCCACAAGCATTGGTGGAAAAAGTTATCCGGTACCTGTGCTAGTGGGAGGCAGCAAATATCCCATGGAACTAGTCCAAGCGTGCAGGAATCACCCACAGCATAGTTCGACTCAGTCCAATCAACCTTTTACGGCTTTTAGTCATACATTGTTAACATGCAGGTGTGTACCAGGCTCCCCTTCTCTAAAACAAGTCAACTCAGAATTTCATGCCAGGAGTTTAGATGCTCACAAGTCCTTATGATGGCTGGACTATACCAAGTACTTTTATTTAATTTTTACAACAAGAAACTTTAATATTACAATTGCCCATACTAATCCATCTTCTTTGCCCTGTCCAGCTAATTAGGGGTTCGATACAACAACAACAACAACAACAACGACCCAGTATAATCCCACAAGTGGGGTCTGGGGAGGGTAATATGTACGCAGACCTTACCCCTACCCCGAAGGGTAGAGAGGCTGTTTCCAGGACTAATTAGGGGTTCGATGTAGTCACTATTTCCTTCATGATTCAAACAGATCCCAGTATTTCTTTATGCATTCTAGACATCTATTTCTTATCATTAACATTTAAAAATATTTTACCTACCTTCTGCACATAACATCATAATTGAGGCTGATTCTTAAACATTAGTCATATTCAGAATATTATGACAGAGTGATTCATTCAGAGTTTGTTCAAATGAAAAAAATTGTACTCACTCAGTGAAAGAGCACTTAAAACATTAAAAGCTTTTAACAGGAATAGCAGAAGCTAGACTGCGTAATAATTAATTCAGTGAAATCACATACCTTTGATCCAGTGGCCACCAAACCCTTATTCTGCAGCCAATCAGCTCCTCACCTTGCTCTCTGACAACCTTATCCGCAGAATACTGAGAAGATTATAGAGAGGCTCATAAATCTTGAAAGCAAACAACATTAATCAATGCAGAGATGAGCTGGAAGCATGGACATTATGCACTTCAAATTTCTAATTGGTCAAAAGTCTTTTCTCTTCAGTTACAAAAGAAAACTAGATTTTTTTTATAAGTAAAATGGAAAACTAGTTTCAGCATATAAATAACCTCGTTAACTGTTAACATTCACTTTAGTAATCACTTACTGAAGGTTGTCTAATATCATTAACCATAAGCCAGCTCTAATAAGTGATAATAAATGTTTACCTCTTCTTGTGATGGCAAGGTCTTCCTTTTACGTTGTTCTTTAGAGGCTTTCGGTAAGGTCCTTTTCTTGGTTATTGAAACAGAATCCAATGCCTGCACAACATAATAAATCCAAGACTAAAGGGGTAGAACAAATAGTTTATTTAAATCCACATAACTTCCAAATTGAGAACATTCACTTTAGTAATCACTTATTCGAGGTTGTTTAATATCATTAACTATAAGCCAGGTCTAATTGATGATGATAATAATGTTTACCTCTTCTTGTGATGGCGAGTTCTTCCTTTTATGTTGTTTTTTAGAGGTTTTGGAAAAGTTGTTTTCTTTGGTGATTGAGAGAGAACCCAATGCCTGCACAACTCAATTTATGTACACAATAAGTCCAAAATTGAGAGGTACAACAAATACTTTACTTGAATCCACATAACTTCCTAGACGAGAACATTCACTTTAGTAATCACTTATTGAAGGTTGTCTAATACCTTTAACTATAAAAGCCAGCTCTAACTAAGGATAACAAATGTTTACCTCTTCTTGTGATGACGAGTTCTCCTTCTTACGTTGACCTTTAGAGGTATTGGCAAAGTTGCTCTTGTTGGTGATCGAGTGAGAAGCCAATGCCTGCAAAATCCAATTTATGTATTAATAAGTCAAGAACTAAGGGGCACAACAAATACCTTACCAAAATTCACATAACTTTCAAATCATATTCAGCAAATTGAAGCTAACTGTTTATATTTACTACCTCAATTCCTGATTCTTTAACTGATGGCCCCCGTCTTCTATCACGATAGCTGGCAGGTAAATTTTTCTTGTCACCTTTTTCATGTTTCTTTTCTAATGCCTCCAAGACAACAAATTCTTCTGAAGTAATCAATTTAGGTTGTGAGACTTTCTTCTTTGTTAAAACTCCGGGTAAATTTCTTGCTGAAATTGATGAAATTTGTGCACCATCATTCTGACCTATTATGTCATTTTGCTCCTTTTGGCGTCTTCTTATAGTCATTTTCGGAGTCTTCTCCACACCAGATGACAAGTACAATTCATCGGAGATAGCACATTTAGGTGAACAGCTACTTCTCTTTTTAGTATCTTTCCCATAATCCTTCCAGCGAATACAGGCTTTTGATCTCCTTTCTCCACTTAACCAAACATGATCATATCCTTCCTCTGGCTTTTTCAAAAAATTAGGTTTCCAACCTCTTTTCCTTGAAGCTTGAGTAGCTTCTGAATCTAGATCTTTTTCGGCTGCATGTATGAAACCTAAGTTTTCAGGTCGAGAATTGGTCCTTGAATCTGTATTTTTCTGCTGCTTTGTTGCATCTCCACATTGTGATCCTTTCAAAGATTTATCCATCTCTGGAACGACATCATCTTCCTTATGCTTAGGGTCATATTTCCCCAGCAAGTCAGATGGTTGATCTAAGAATGGAGTAACTTTCTCAGGTGCACCATGTGGTGCAAGCTCGCTAGAGTCGTCATTTGTAGGTGACTTGGAAGTTCCAGGTACAGATGGACCAACTTTGCTATCATAACCAGCTCCGCGGGTAAGCTCTTTTGAGTCATTATTGACCGGTGTCTTAAAGGAATCCTCTGCAGATCGCTCAAATAATACAACAGTGTCATCAGCTGAAATAACTTTAGAGTCAGCATCTGGAAGACACTTGGAAGTTGCTTCCGTGGATGGACAGGCATCGTCAAAGCAAGCAGCTTTATGATAACGCTCTTCAGGACCATTTTGTGATTTTGATGCTCCATCCACAAATTGATCAATTTCTCCTGGCCTAGAACTAGGGAGAGACTTTGTACCATTCTGACAAGGGCACAGCGAAGGAACCATTCACATCATTAGTATAAATCCAGAACAAATAACCAAACATGATTTTATCAATACCACATATGTTAACTGAACAATCCTATCAGATAGACCTACCGTAGTTTTACTTTTAGTTGCCTCTCTCCATATCAATTCAACAACTTCAGAATAATCATCAGTGGAAATCCTCAAGGACCTCAGTGCTTCTGGAAGATATGGACAAAGTTTGACAGCACTTATTTGAAGAACTCTCTCTCCTAGCATATAGGAGCGAGGTGAAACATTCTGAACCAAAAGACAACTTCATTAAAAATTCAATAAGAAAGATGCATCAAAGATAAATGAATGGAGTTGTAGAGGAGAAGCAATACCTGGTTTTCCTTCTTAACACTACTTATCAGGATGTTCAGAAGCTCCATTGAAATTCCGTCACTCTCTTTTATCATCATGCTCATTATTTCCTCGACATCCATGAATACATGATCAGGGTGGTCCGGCCTTAAAATGGGGCAAGATACAAAAATCCGTTGTCAGCCATTTCCAGAAAAAAAAAAAGAATGGCATGAGGAAAAGGTAGTCTTTGAACTTCATAAATAATCTGGTAGTTTTTGACATGCTATATACCTTAGCATATAAGTTCATTTATACTGTATCCAATATATAAAGATACAACAGTGAATATTCGCATGCATGCTAGAACTCTGTTATATACTCCCTCCTTCCCATTTGTGATAAGAGTGTTTGATTGGTACAAAATATATATTCAAACATGACTCATCATTAATTAGTGACACTGAGAAAGAAATATCCAATTACTCCCTCCGTCCCAATTCATCCCCTCTTCCTTTAGACAAATTATGAACAAATAACATATTGGAGATCAAACCTTATGCTATTCAGAAAATGATGAAACATCTGAACAACCAATGCGTCTAACTCGAGATCCAACATCAGAATGCATGTTCGGTACTTCGCAAGAACTTCGATAATTGAAACAGCCTTTGAATAACCACAACCATCAATGCAAGACAATTTCCCAAATGCCAATACTGAAAGCTCAAAAAATTCCTGTCCAGCAATTGCGCAAGAAACTAAACTGAGAATCTAAATACTATTCATGCATCCAACTAACCAAGTAAATCATAGGTGCATAACTATTACAGAATCTGAACCATCAGTTAAAAGAAAAACAGCTTGGTTAGAAAAGAGACTGGCAACAAGTCTGACTTTATATTGAAGCAAAGAAGGCTGTAAGAGTTGTATTTGCCTGAATTATGCGATCATCATAAGGTTGATCTGGAGCTGTAATTCTCATGATCTCACCGATGCAAGATGCAACTGACACCTTCACATCTATGTCAGGATGCCGTAGAAGTCCATCTGCAGCTAGTGCTTCCCTTGCAGGTTGAAACGCATCTCGCGCCGATGCAGGTGGAACTTGCTCCACCGTTGACAGAAGATGCTCTAAATTCTGAATTCATACCAAAACCAAATGGTGAACCACATCAATTACATTGGAAACGCTTTTCTGTATAACAGATGAAGTCTAAATCATGAAGTTTTGCAGAAAATAAAGAAACAAATAAAGTTCTACACTACGTCACAAGGTCACGCATATCTCTCTCGCTCCATAGTTTTACGTGCTTTTACCGTCTGGAAGCTTGATTTTGTCCTTTACACAACAGCAAGTATAAGAGCATATAATAGATTACACTGCCAGGAAAAGTGAAAAAGCAATGCCAAATGAAAATCCTACTCTGATAAATAATTTAATATAAGCACAAGGTAAAAGCTTGGCCAAGTTCCTTAACATTAAAAAAGATTCAAAATGGATCATCTTGTATCGGAAACTAAACCTTCTTCGCTAATTTTATGCGAGGAACATGTTGATAACTGTAGATATCCTAGGTCCAGCTGCTATGTTAAACAAACAACGAAGAGTTAGAAAACTTAAGAATCATTAAACATAGTATAATATTTATTGAAGGATAAGGTATCACATTTGTCTCCTGTTCAAGCCTAAAAACTTCCTTAGGGTGAACACTAACCCCACTATCCCAAATCTACAAAAGGCAACATGCGATTCAAGCTTACAAGTGAAAGAATGTTCTTGTACTATTTTGAATAGCCAAGTTGACAACTTTTCTGGCTTTGTCCTGGCTCACCTCAAAGTTCAAGCATAAATTATTAGGTGTTTAGAGATCTCAAAGCCTTCTAATGAGTTCATACACATCTGATCCCATAAACCTTTGGTTTTCATCCAAAGCAACAAATAATTTAGGGAGACCATAAGATAATTCAAAGAATTTGTTAAACCTCGCTGCAATTCCACTTAACTTTTGCTCAAGGAGGAGATATACCCACACGAGGTGGACCATGCCAAGGAGAATTGAGGAAGTCCTAGCTTGTTGGAACAGAGATGGTAACCTTTCAAGACACAAAGAGAGATGGAAGATTGTCCAAATGCAAGTGGACAGTCTAGAAAGAGAGAAACCAGAGATGTTTGAAGATAACAAAAGTTCCATTCAGAAGCTGAAGATGAATTGTCTAGTCCTATTTTATTTTGGTGTAAACAGGATTACTTACAAGAAGCTGAGTCTATTTATGAGATTTTAGATTACTTATGATAGTTTAAGACTTAGGAACTCAGGCTTCAACTCTCCTTGTAATTATATAGGACTACACTGCTTTGTGTAATCTCAATTTATTATATATACTAATATGTTACCTTCTCAAAAAAAAAAAAAAAAAAAAAAAAAAAAAA